GTTAAAGCCTTTTTTTGGGGGGGGGGCGCCCTTCAGTCTCCTAGGCTGCCCGGTGCAACGGGACCTTGCATCTCAGCAGTTGAACTTGGGTGTAACATACACACACACACACTGCCCTGACCATTGGCTGACAGATATTAGGAATGGCAACATACAAAAACCTGTAGGGGAACACTTCAATCTCCCTGGACACAAAATTGCAGATCTAAAGGTAGCCATCCTGCAGCAAAAAAACTTCAGGACCAGACTTCAAAGAGAAACTGCTGAGCTACAGTTCATCTTCAAGTTTGACACAATCAGCTCAGGATTAAACAAAGACTGTGAATGGCTTGCTAACTACAAAAGCAGCTTCTCCTCTCGTGGAATTCACACCTCCAGATCAGCTACTAGAAGTGGGCCTCATCCTCCCTGATTGGATCCACCTCGTCATCTCCAGCCTGATTCTGACCTGCATATTTATACCTACCTCTGGAAATTTCCACTACATGCATCTGACGAAGTGGGTCTTTGCCCACGAAAGCTTATGCTCCAACACTTCAGTTAGTCTATAAGGTGCCACAGGTCTCCTCGCTGCTCTCTATATTTGTGTCTCTAATCTCTAGTGATGCTCAGATCCTGAATAAACTTCTTCCATACAGATCCTTTACCATCTTCTTGCTGTTTCTGGAGAACCAGATTGCATCAGGTCAGAAATAAATAAAACTCAGGGGTAGCAGCATGGGATATTGTTACCCTACAGTACAGGTGTCTAATTTTTCCACTGTTAAACTTTTTTTTTTCAATACTTTTGTCTGAAGAGTTCTGAAGCCTCCCTGGCTTACAGCAGAAATGGGATATTTTGTAGGCAGGGATATTCCATTGCTGCCTCCACAGAGATCTCTGTAGATATGGCTAACGTATCGAAAAGCTCTTTTTTTTCCATTTGCTTTCCTCACCAGAGATTGATACAGGCTTATTGTTTTTAAAAAAAATAGACTAAAAAATAGTCTCTCTGCAATATAGATACCCTTCCCTCAGCCTGATACAGGAAGGAATTTATATTTAGCAACATGCTAAGTAACAGAAAACTGAGGGTATAGAAAAAAAGTATTGAGCAACCTCGACTTTATATATTATTCTCTATGCCACCTTTGAGGTCTAACTAATTTTAACAAAGGTAACAAAATAGTTGGTTTCTGTTAAAGAAGGTGAAACATTTGAAGTGAAAAATCTGAGAAGTCAACTGAAATAATGCTATAAGGCACAAACAGCCACAAGGCCCAGTGAATTTAAATATTACTATTAATAATAATTATTATTTATTAGCATTTTAAACATATAATGGAATCCAACTATCTCACATATAAAATATAGAGATTACACCACTGCACTATTCTGCTGGCAGCTCAAAGCACTGATAGAAAAACTGCTTGGGAGTCAAGTTGGCCAAGGGCCACTCTACAGAGGTGTCCATAGGAAGTTCTGATCAGAGCTAAACCAGCAGATGTTCATTATGTATGCCAAGATATTTTACCCAAACCACGGTGACCTAACGTGCTTTACACATCCTGGGATGGCACAAGATGTTTTGCACAAAGACCCTGAATATTCCGGAAAGACAGACTTGGAAGAATTCCAATATCCAAACGGTGGTGGGACAGTGCAGCATTTCCCCACAAGCAGGGTTCTTTCTGATTGGCCCTCAGCAGGTTGGCCACAAAGAAACCAAGCCTTCAGAAACTAAAACGGAGTTTATATAATCAAAACATCGCTCCCTAAAGCTCATATAGCTGCATGAGAGACAGTGACTAGGACTGCCATCACCTGTTGACTAAGAGCACCCCGAAGCTGGTAACTACTACCGTTTCCCTTATAATCCCTCTGCTATCTTTTCCTGTACAGGTCTATCTAGGGAGATAGTTGGGAGATGCAGAAAGAGAAGATTATTGGTGTCAGAACTGCTTCTGTGAATGAATGAACTCTCTAGCTGTCTTGAGAAACCACTTGGAGCCACTGTCTGTGATACAGAGCTAGAGAACAGGCCTTCATTCCAGTTTGAATGGATAAGTAGAAAAATTCTGTGCGTTTTAATTGTGCAAATATATGCTTGGCTATTTTAAAGCGACCTGAATTAAAAAACTCTGCAGGATCATTCCAATTCTCTGAATTCCTCTTATCCAAAAATCCTACCAAATGAGCAATGTTTTCCCCCTGCAGTGCTGTGTTAATCACTCACGGATGAGCTAACCTTAGGGTGTGGGAGCTGTGATTTGGGAGGATTTATAGAGTTAGAGATGAGGAGAAGGAAAAAAGGGAAGAAGAATTCGGGGGAAGGCAGGGGAGGAGATAACTGGTGGGGAGGGAGAGAACAGGCAAAAGAGAGAAGAATGGACCAGATGCAGGGGTTAAGGTGTAGACTGAAAGGAGACATGTTCAAGGAGAGGAAGGATAAAGGGGGACACAGGATGGGAGTTAAAGGACAGAGAACATGATAGGAGGGAAGGGAATGAAGTGAGGCAGAGGAGGTTGGAGGAGAGAAAAGGAGAGAAAGGAGAAGGAGAGAAGGCATCGCCATAGATAGTAGCCTCCTTATTGCTTCTTGAGGACAACCGGGCATGGACATCTCTCAGCTCACTCCCTTGGTGCTGTCAGTGCTGAGAAATTCTTAAGCTTCACTAAGGAGCCTCCTGTCTTTCAGGGCTCCTCTTCCTCTCCTTCCCTCTGTCCTTCTTTCCTCTCTTCTCTTCTCCACACTCTTCTCTGCCTCCCTTTGGGCTCTGTCCATGCAGCCTCTTGAGGAACACCATCAGAGATGATGCACATCCCAAATTGACCTCTTCCTCCTCCTCCTTATTCCCTCTGGATTCTAGCACTCCTTTTGCTGACCCATTTGTTTGAGCGTTGCCCAGTTCTTCAAAATTCCGTATCTCTCCCAGGTTGGTCAGATAAATGGAAATGTACTGTAATAAAATAGAGGACATCTACTTCATTTCACTAATAAAATGGAATCTTAGCTGTCTGAATCTTAGAGGCACTGAGTGCTGAAGTTGAGAAATATTTGTAAAGGGAAAGGAGGTAGCTGAGAGATATTTAGAGTGTTTCAGAGTTCTGCCTCAAAATCATACAGAATTTGTGTTTTGAGCGAAATTGACACAAATAGAGTAGGCAGCTATGATGGGCTGTACAGAACTAGGATAAAGCTTGCTTGTGTAACAACTGTGAAAAGGCCTGGAATGAATTGATGTGCATTGCTATTTCTTTTTAAAGTATAAAATAATAGCA